GCCCGGCCTCGGGCCTCGGAGCGGCGCCGTCTCTCCTTTACTCCCTCCCTCCCTGCCCAGCTCCTCCTCCTCCTGCTCCTGCTCGCTCGGGCTCCGGCTCCGGCGCCGGCTCCGGCTCCTCCCGGCAGCCCGGGGCCAAGGCGACGTGAGATTGTAAAAATCCATGTGGGACGGCCCCGGGGTGAGCATCAGAAAGGTGAGACGTCGACGCCGGAGCCGGGGCCCCTGGGTGCCCGGCTCCCTCGGGGTTCCCGTGCCTGGGCATCCCTCGTGTCGTGTCCCCCTCACTCGTGGGGAGCTGCAATGCGTTATCTGGGGGAGCCGAGGGGTGAACCATCCGCTTCCACCGGGGTTTTCTGGGAGGGGGGAAGGATGGGGCGGCCTAAGGACAGATTTGCTTGATGTAGAAACCCCTAGATTGGAACAAGTGCACGGCTTTCTCCGGCGCGCGGGCGCCGCTAGCTCGCCCCGGCGGCCCGGGCCACCTCCCGCAGTCCCTCTCCGGCAGCCTCCCTCACTGCCATCTCCTTTCTTCTTTTCAGCTCCCCCTCTTTCGCTTGGCTTTCCCCCTCTTGCCTTGAAGGGTGGGGTGTTCGCAGAGGCAGGGGGCTCGGGGAATCCCCAAGCAGAACAAAGTATAGAGATGTGGAGCCCTAGCCCAGGGGGTGGGGTACTTGGCTGCCTCGGCGTGTTCCGAGGGGAGCGTGTTAAAATAAAGAAATCCGTGTCAGGGAAAATGAAGCCGGATTTATTGGGGAGGGGTAAGGGCTGGTGGTGTATGAAAACGAATACGATGTGAAATTAAACTGGATGACTTTACTTCCCTCCCCTTCTCATCTCCGAATTATACAAGAAAAGGGATACTTAGAGGGTTGTATTTATTCATTTTGTTTTATTTTATTTTATTTTTATTACTGTACGAGCCTTTGAAAGATCATCTTAGGACAGTGAAGATTAAGGGCTGCTTTGGTGCGGGATGATAAAACAGCGCTCGTAAACTCTCTGATCTGCCCTGCCTTATTTATTTTGTACTTAAGTCTCTGTTCTCTTTGCCTGAGAGGGAGGGTCCGCTCTGTTACGAGCAGATCGATTTTAGGCGGCTACCTGCCTTTGCTGGATGAAAGGCAATTTACTCCCAGAGCGGTGAATTGTCAGTTCCCTCTGTGATTGACGGCCACACCTGCCACTTATGTGGGCAGAACGGGGACCGCTGGAACCTCAAGAGCCAATCAATGCTCGGGAGAGGAGGGCAGTTCCCACTTGTCAGGGTTAGTTTCCTGGTTGGCTTTTTAAATCAGTGGTTTTACTTAACCATTGGTTACCACCAGGTATGAGGCTCCAGCTGTGAGAGACAAACAAGCGGGACGAAAACTCTTCGAAAATGGGCTTTGAAGCAAGTATGCTTGATCTGTATTTGTTAACCCCCTCCCCCTCGATTTTTTTAGTTGTAGTAGTTGGGGATGCTCAGGCCATTGGCTTAAAACATGAAATGGATGTATAAAAAATGAAATGGGAGGAGGTGCTGGGGATTAGAATTTTCCACCTATTTCGAGAATTGCAGATTCCTGTATAAGAGATATCATTTACTGTTGCGCTATCTGGAAAAGGGTGTGGCACTTTGTCTCCTATGGTCACTCTTGTCCTTGTAAAGTCATATTGTTTCTCAGTATACAGTATTTGGCTCTTGGCTCTATCTGGTGGATTTATAAGATATTTTTGAAGCAGGCAAGCATGCTTTATTTGGATTACCACGAACAGAAGGGATTCTTTTAGTTTTTTACAGTATAACACAAGTTCTGAAAGTGAAGGCTGACTTCTTCACTTACAGTTTGGATGTCAGTTTGGAGGTGGCAGTAGCGTCGAGCCAGACCCTTTCTGGAAGGTAGAAGAGTTTGCCTTTAAGGTGAGTTTGCCTCTAAGGTGAGCCATCTTGTCGGTCTGCTTCTGTGCTTTAATGAAAGCCTCGCACAGTTTTGGGGTGGGGGCGGTATGTGAATGGTGATGGAAACATGACTTTCATAAGCAAGACTTTCAAGGGTGGATGATGGATTGTGGGTGGAAGGACCATATCCTTCTCAATTCTCTATTAGTGAAAAGCTTACTTTTCAACATTCTTCTCCCTGAATTCAGTGGAAAAATTACTGGTTGATTCAGAGAGCCTGTCATCTTATAGAAGATGTATTGGATGTGAATATAAAGCTGTGCATTCAGCTTTTTGTGAACAGATTGTGAACCAGAGTACACTGATTAGGGTGGTCCTCATGTAGGAACCAGATTTGTCAAGGTAGTATTGTTACTTTTACTATTATCATTATTATTGTTATTGCATATGCTAACACTTTGGGGAGTACTTTACATGTATTTTTTTAAATCCTGCATTGCCCCTATGAGGTAGATAGGACTATTATTATCCTTGAATTTTAGATGAGGAAACTAAAAGGAATTAAATATCTTGCCACAGTTTAGTGTGAAAGCGAGAACATGAGCCCAGGTTTCTCTGAACCAGAGCCTATGTCCTTGGACATGGCCTTGAATTTAAATTTTGGTTGTGCACTCTGCATGTGTCCAGTCTGCAGTGTGGGCTCTTCCAGATTACATAGGGCCTATTCTGTTGAGTCCACTGTAGTGTTGAGGATCTTTGAATATCCTGTTTGCCTTGCCACTTTGAAGGCAGTTGCCCCTACCAACAGGCAAATTAAGTAACTTTGTATATTATATATTTCCATTATGTCAGCTTTGGCCCAAAGGAAATTTGATTCCAAACTTAATGATGACTTAAAAGAAGGTAAAACAAAATAAAATACACACTCTTCTATTTTTCTTGATATCTTAAATTTCCAATTGGAGTTTTGGATAGGTCTTAATTGAATGCATTCTCTTATCATTCAGTTGACCTTTTTTCCCCCTAAAGGATAGGAATTTTATTTTCTCTTTCACTAACAAAGGGATTCTTCTCCATTAGTGATTAAATATAGTTATATTTAAAATCACTCTGTTGAAATAATATGCCCCTCTTATTTTATTACATTACAAAAGCTACAGATGTAAGCCTGTTAGTATCTTCTTCTCACTGGTGAAACTCAGTGGTCATGGTTTGCCAAAACAAGTATCCTGAAAAGGAGTTTAGATGAATGGTGTTGGAGTCCACAAGTTCACCTCAACAGATAGTCTTTGATTTTGGTGAGGTTGACTTTGTACCATCAACATTTTTGTTGTTTTACTAGGATTTCCTTTAACCCCTTTTATTGGCTTGAAAGTTAACATTTTGACTGTCACATGGGAGACCTACCTGTCAGCTGACAGTTTAGTTTCAGCAGTGTTTATATTATTCCTTGATACTCTATTGTGATTTTCCTTATTTCAGAAAGATAGTAGAACAGAAGGAAAATAGAAAAGCACTGATATTAATGATAATGCCAGTCTCATAAGTTTAAAACAGTTGATCTAAAGATAGAGATCATTAGGTGTACCAATGACAGACGTACTTCAACCAGTTATTTCTTACAAGAAGAAAAGGAACAAAATGAATGATTATGTAAGAAATGCTGAATTATATCAAATGGTAAAAGATAAACTAGTCAACTTTTGCTGCATAACAAAACTCCTGTACTTACAGCAACAGGTATTTATTCTCACCCTCATGAGTCTGTAGGTTGCCTGTTGGCTTATCCAGGTTGGGCTCCTGGTGGTGGCTCTGCTGTAGGCTGTAGGTTGGATTCTGGTCTGCTCCATATCTGTTCTAGGGCCCACCCTAAAGGGATAGCAGGTACCTGGGGCATGATCTTCTCATGGCAGGTCACTATATTCAAGAGCCAAGCCAAACTGCACAAGCAAATGTCATTTCCATTAACAACATTTTTGGATATTGCAAGTCACATGGTGAAACCTAGCACCCATGGGTAAAGTAGACTCTGCCTGTAGGAGGGGAGGGAATATTTGATAAACTCCCACAGGGTGTAAAAAGTATAGTGTTTTTATAGAATTTTATAATTTTTTCTTCTCATTCTTGGGGAATGTAGTCTTCATCCCCTTACTCCTACCCCTAGGTTTATCACATATACACCTAGGTTTTACTTTTGCATTGCAGGAATATACCATGTTTGATTCTAGAGGACTGACTGTAAAAGCAAGTATGAGCATATACATGAATTACTTAAGTTATCAAGGCACTAATTTTTAGAACCTACTGTATTCAAGGGACTATGCTTGATGGAGCACAGGGGGTTTTTGTCTGATGTAAGTTCTGCTACCATAGAATTTATTAGGAGAAGGAGTCAGGAAAGAGTTCTTGGATGAAGAGGCATTTTCCTGGACCTTGAAGCAGGGACAGTGTTAGAGATACAGATAGAGCAGTGGGTATAACAAAAATGTAAGGAGCATATCTGGATATAATGAGTTATTTCATTTGACCAGAGGGTAGGATGAATGGGTAATAATAACAATAATAGCTATAATAGTAGCAATAATTATAGCTTAACTTTTATTGAGCAGTTAGCTATGTGCTCAGTACTGTGCTTAGTACTTTACATGAAATATATAATTTAATATTGAAGTAGACATTGCTGATTGCCTATCCAATATTCATTCTCTCCTTTCTGAGAGAACTTCGATTTTGTTTGAGTTGGGAATATGCTCATCTCATTTTCCCAAACTTCCTTACATGAGTGGTCATGAGTCTCAGGTCTTATAGTGATGTAAGTGGATGCTATTGGATAGGGACTTTCCTGAAAGCTTAATGAGCAAGACGCACTTGGCTGGTGTACCCCAACAGCATTTGATCTCTTTCTGCTTCTTGTTGCTGGGAAAGTGGGTGCAATGCCTTGAGGGGCAGCAGCCAACTACAACAACAAAGATAAGATCACCTACTGTGTGTCTGTCCCTCTACCAGTAACACACAGTCTCGATACTGTATAAATTGTATAGACTTATTTCTCCTAATTCATTAATTTTCAAGTTGTTTTAGCTCTTCTAGTTTCTTTGATTTAAACATTTAAATATTGGAGCAACCTTGTCTGTATGTACAAAAAAATTATTTGGTTAAGTGTATCTTTGAGTAACCTTTTTTTTTTTAAAACAGGAGTCAAATGTGAGGTATATTTTCTAGAGCTCATAATAAATATATCAATATATGGTAAATAATAAGTCTTTCTTTAAACGTGAATGAAGTTAGGAATAAATAGGAAATTCCTGGTTAAA